TAATATCAACGAAAGGCAGCATCAAAACCATTTTTTCATTCTGTAAGTTGCACTATCGAAACTAGTTGCAACGCTGTGTTTAAAAAAATTTCGATTCTTCATACGTGTGTCCAAGTATCCGGTTTATGGCTTTTTCAGGCAAATTCATCTCAGCTAGCAATTCACGTCTATATTTGAGATTTCTTATTATTATAATTATTGTCATTCAATTAATATCCATAATTGTTTAATTTGAATGTTCTTCTTCTAGTAACTGTAATACTTAGGTAGTTGTCTGAAGTCAAACACTCTAAAGAGCTCTGGTAGTTACTACCAAAATGCACCATTTTTCAATTAAAGTTAGTAGGGGTTTAACGTTTTGAGAATCGCCAATCATAGGGATAAGATGAAGATAGGCTGTAGACCGCAAAAATCACGCGTTCACCCTAAAATTGGTTTGACCAGGGTTACCTAATTGCCTACCACAAATGTAGCAAAGTTTGAGAGAGGGGGAAGTTACAATAAGTATATTAAAACTGCATTTAATGCAGTTTGTACCATTCAGAATATAGCAAAATACCAATGTAACAGAAACTGTATGGTTCATACAGGAATGATTTCGAGCACCATTCATCCACGAGAATTTCTTAGCCATAGATGCTTATCACCTGGTTATCATCGTCTCAATCAGATAATGCTCCACTGCTAACATGACGCTCGCAAGGAAATGTCCAGAAACGTGTACTGGACTTTAATTTCGTCAAAATGGCCGTTAAGAAAGATATACATCACCAGATGCTTTGATTTCAAATCTATTTCCACATCTGTCGGATCTTCTATCCAGAAAGCTTTATCTTGGTCTTCTGTAGCATGGAAGATATATTGGTTGTTCCTCAACAGTCTGATTATAGCGGTGAAAATTTCTTGATAGTCACTACGAAGATTTTGATCAAATAATTTTATTTACATTGTTTTTAAATCACAGTTTAGCTGAAGCGATAGATAATGAGTACATGCCAGTTTGGGCAGAAAATATACAACTCTTCCAGAATGAAATAAACGTTTTTAATACCAAATGCTCCAAATAAAATTAAAGGACAAAGTTCTTGACATTTTCAATCCATATGGGCCAATGCATTTGATTTATTGGATATAGTGGGGGCAACTGAATGCATATTAGCCCATTACTTCGACTGCGCGAGGCCAGCCGGTCTGCGCTTTACTTCCTCAAATTTGAGAAAATGAAATCATTTTGGCTAAGATAAATACTTTCTTCTGTTAGATTAACAATCAAATCTGCATTCCTCCTCCCAAATTATTTAATGTAACTTTTAAAAATCCAATTTATTTTGTAATATGTGAATCCTCCAATAATTGAAATTCCTTGAATATGAAGCGCACGCCAGATGACATTGAGGACAATCGTCGGTGCAGATAAAAACTGGATGCGAGAGGAAAGATCGTCGCTCCAGTGGCGTTCGACTTATGCGAAATTGGCGCGAAGGGTAACAATTTGAAAGTGGGCCGACGTAACTGCTGAGGATTGCGTTCACTCTCGAATCGTCATCTCTAAGTTGTTTAAACATCACCACTGCTTATCACTAGGCTAACATACTTAACAATTCTATAAATAGTGATTTCTCCCAGCTATTACTCACTCATTCGGTTTGCTGTTTGAAGAAAGGTGGCTTTTTTTCCCGATGCAAGACTTAACGACGTTCATACATTCCTTTGTCAAGTCGTTTCAGATCTCCTGTTACCTTGCCATGACTGCAAATGTAACGAGAAAAGAAGCGGATCTTGACCTTCTCAAGGTTGCACCTCTTTTCTCTTACGTATAATGACGTGGAACCAGTATTTCTTTGGTTTAGGTCAGACAGAATGAACTGAGCAGCCGGGTGAGAGCAGCGGAAGCCAACGGTAGGACGTTGGTTTGGGTACCCCACGAGAAAGATGGATTTGTGTTGTCGTTTATAGTTAAAGAACCGGATAATGAAGGTAACTTTTTTCTTTTCTGCTAATTGTCCTCCGATTTAAGTGCGATAGCCATCTAATTGAGCAAGTCCAGTAGGCAGTTCTTCTTTTTTCAGGTTATGTGGAAGTTGAATTGCTCGATACTCACGAAAGACAACGAGTTAGTCGTGATGACTATCAAAAAGTGAATCCCCCAAGATTTGACAAGTGTGAGGATATGTCCAGCATGTCGTGTTTAAATGAAGCTTCAGTTCTACACAATTTGAAACAGCGCTACTTTTCCAGTCTTATATATGTAAGGTTTTCTTCCTGTTCATGATTCCCGGCTGTTTGATACAATGTCTTTAGACATATTCTGGTCTCTTCTGTGTGGTAGTTAATCCCTACAAGCGGCTGCCGATTTACACCGAATCAATTGCAGAGCAGTATAAGGTGAGTTTCTAAATGCCAATTATCACTTCTTTTATCTTTCAAATCTTCCACGTTATCAGCCTACGTTTTGTACTTTTTCATAGTCTGTCGACTTAGCTTTATTTCGGTAAATGAGATGGTTGTAATATTAGTTAATGTGTTATGGTCATAGCTTTTGGTAATTGCAAAATTTGAGTTTTTCCGCTAGAAGACAAACTGTTGAGCTAATGTCTGTCTTCTCATTTAATCAGCCGACTTCAATTCGGCTTTCGGTTCTCAGCAAACGGTTGCGAGCTTAAAAAGTTAAACTTTTACTAACAGCTTTTTTCTGATTATAAGAGATCCTTTTCATGAAATCTGAACACTTTTTAATTGCCCTAATATGGTTCACCCGGCTGCACACATTAGCACTATCATGGTTGCCTTTAGCACTTGTTAACACAGAATGGATCAAAATGGGCTCATTCTGACCGAACTAATTTCGTAAAAATTAGATATCGTAATCTCATATGATTCATCAAGGAGACAAGAAAGCAGCAACCTTTACAAGTTACAGTCAGTTGTCGAATCATGGTTATGGTTAATAGACCCGTAAAACATGATTTTGTTT